TAGGTCTCATCACTATACTGTAGTTGGACCCACTAGGTAAGTCAGTATAAAAGGAGAATTGCAACAGGCTCTTTCGGTTAGCATGATAGGAGCGGTACACTCTTTAGTGGAAGAACTGGCAGTACTTTAAAGGAAGCTAGACCTACTGGAATTCAAATGTTCCTAATTATGAGAACTTGGTTAGGTTAATAGGCTGAACTTTAATACCTGAATTGGGGCAGTATTGTCACCCTTGAAGGTTTGTTTTGAAAAATAGAGATAATCGATGTGAAGTAATGGGAGTATCTAGCATTTGGAGGCAGTTAGCGGACGGTAGCTATTATGATGATAAGCAAATATTTATGGACTAAGTTGGTATATTTTGATATAGTTGTATAGATTTTAATTTTTAAGAGCTTCATATAGTTTATATCTAATTTTGCATATTAGGAGTACTGCATATGGATCAAGTTATCCCTAAACATGGTACAGATTTAAACATACTGTCAATACAATTTTAGATGAATTAATGATGATACACCCATGACATTATAAAGAAAAGGTCAGGACTGAGGCATCCACACCTGACCTTTGAGGATCACATTTCAGAAGCTTTCAGCTATCCTTGCTGACAACCCTCAAGGCCTTGACTTCTCTGTGAAATAATCTCGAGCTTAGTAAAATGGGTGGATTCACGTAAGAAAGCCGTGCCTTTGTGTTTTTCAGAATCTGATATTGAGGATATTTCTGTTGTATGTTATCCTGTGTTTGAGAATCCTTTGGACATAAGGTCAGAAGACTTAATGTTCTTCTGCTTAAGTAATATTCTTCTGTGTTAGGTCTGGTATTGTGGATTCAGAGATTGTGGTAAGAATTTTTGTGAAAGTGGTGTCTTGAGTGCTCTCAGAAGAGTGGTGTGGGAAGCAGGATAAAGCAAAGGGGGAAAAGCTAAGCCAGGAATATTGTTCTGCCTAGAGACTTCCTTCAGCCTGATTCCACCGGGTTATAGGGTGGCAGGGAGAAGGGGAGCTCTGGGGCACAAATTGTGCCACAGAGTCAGTCAAGGAAGCAGCCTGTTGTATACCTGTGTGGCCAGTCTTTGGCTCTGGCCACCTCCTAGAAGCAATGGTTCCCTAACCTACCAAGGGAGGCAGTTCCAGATCTGTGAGCCGTTAGCACCATGCACTCACAGCAGCTGGGGATGGTTGTGCAGCCCAGTGGGAGCTTGGGGAAAGCCCAGAGTGGCCTTGGTGGGCCCCCACCCATAGACGGAGCCGTCAGATTTTTTTGTGTGGTTTTTTGTGCTTTGGTTGCTTAGAAGTTCTAGACTGTTTCATGTTTAAATCCTTTGGTAGCCTTTAGCAAGGATTATTTAATAGCATTTTTTCTTTCTTTTCTTTTTAACTTTAGTCTTTCACCTTTATCATGTTCTTTGTACTTACTATGCCAGAAATTTTATTCTAAGTAACCTCAAATTCTTTTTGAAAGTGGGCAAATCTAAAATAAAAATGTGTAAACTAAAACCAGTTTTATAAGTAGAAAATTACCAGTCTTTTTTAAAAACCAAGTAAGTGTTGAATAGAAACAGAATACTTACTATTAAAATTTACCTTAATACTAGTTATATTTTAATAACTACTCAAGAATAAACAAGAAATACTCTAAATCCAAGGAAGAAAGGAACAAAGTTGCATTTTTGCAGGTGATAACTTTATGTATGTACCAAGTGCAATGAAGTGAATAAAAAAGTTATTGGAGGTGATGAAGAGATATACAACAGGTTCTGCAAGATTGTAGGCTAGGATAGAAATCCTCAAAAGTCAATAAAGTTAATTTATGGTAAAGCCATGTAGCTAAAAATATGGTAATAAAAGGACTGTAATGAGAACACAATAACTCCAGAATTGAACCTCTGTCTACGTACCCCAGGCTGCTCCTGCCTGTATGTGTGCGTGTAGTGTGCTGACAATGATCTCACCTGCCCACGTCGGGCAGGTATTCCAGAGGGGGTGGGGGGGTATCTCAGGGTACCCCTTTCACCGTTACTTGCACAGTGAATCACTAGTTACCACCTTCTGATATCACTTACGTTGCTCTTAAGTCTATCCATTCCTATACCCAGTTCCCCTGACTTAACCTGTGTCTACATTTTTGCCGGAACTGTTAGCTGATTCTTCAGTCAGAGACACACACACACACACACACACACACACACACACACACACACTTCATCTGCACGAATGTCTGGTCCTACGTAAAACAAGCATGATATTCTGGGGCTTTCTGGTGTTTTCTTCTTTTGGTTTTGTTTTGGTAACTTCTTATTTTAAAAAAAAGAAAGAAAAAATGAATGTTTAAGTATATTCAAATACGTTAGACCAGAGCTTCTCAACCTTATCACTATTGACATTTTCGGCCAGAAAATTCTTTGTTTGCCTGGGCTGTCTTGTGCACTATACGATATTTAATAGCATTTCTGCCCCCCGCCCACTATATTCCAATACCATTACCCCAGTTGTGACAACCAGAAATGTCTCCAGGTGCTGCCACATGTCCTCTGCTGGCTCGACCCACCCCCAGTTGGAAACCACTAGGTTAGACCAGGAACCACTGGGCAGCGTCCATTGCGTGCTTATGCCCCCACGCATGCTGTGTGCATATCGTCTCATTGAATCCTCACAGCCCCTTTGTGAGTAGGTGCTATTTTATCCTCATTTTCACATGGGCAAACCCAAGACTTAGATTCAGTAATATGTACTGTGTAGACTTGTGCCCTGTGTGACGTTGTACTCACCTGCTCTGACTCCAGAGCCAGGTTCCCTCAGGTTGAATGCCATCTCTCCGTTTATTAGCTGAAGACCTTGGGCAAGTTAGGTAGTGATATTTTTCTCTACGTCAGTTCCCCCTAGGTACTAAGAATAGTACCTGCCACCTAGAGTCTTTGTGGGGTTTAAACCAGTCAGTGTACGTACATGAAGGACTGAAATAGGACTGGCCTGCCCTTGTAAGCACTTTTGCAAGTTACTGAGAATACAATGGTTAAAAAAAAAAAACTCTTGTCTCCCAGTCTAGTTGGAAGTGCAATCGTGTAAACTAGTAATTTGTGATAGAGCATTCTGTGAGAGTACAGAGATGGAAACAGCAAACTTCTTCAGGAGTCAGGATTGTGTTCACAAAGGAGAGCCCACTGACCCTGAAGGATGTCAGAGCTTAGGCAGGCACAGGGTGAGTGTGGGAGGATTCCGTGTGGAGCAGCACAGCAGGGGGGATCTCATAGGGATAAAGGGATTCCAAGACACGTTATCATTGATATGTCCGGTCTGGATAGAATTAGGCTGTTACATGTATGAAATGGGTGCTTTTCTGGAGTTCAAGACATTCTTGCATCTCTTTAAGAAAATATTCCAGAGCTAAGTAAAAATTATTTTTTAATGTATATATTTCATAGGATATATTCACTAAACTTTTAGCATAGGACTATAGGATACGTAAACTGCGAATGAAGCCAGTCACATTAAGCCAAATGAGAAAGCCATATAGGTGTCATAGCAATCCTGTCACATTAATTTGCATAAAACTATTCTTTTTATCAGGTATTTTTAGTATGACATTTGTTTAGAAAACATTTTTATTCCTAAGGGAATCAATTTTTTTTTAAAGATTTTATTTATTCGTCAGAGCGAGAAAGCACAAGCAAGAGGAGCAGCAGGCAGAGGGAGAAGCAGTCTCCCCGCTGAGCAAGGAGCCTGATGTGGGACTCAGACCCAGAACCCTGGGAACATGACCTGAGCCAATGGAAGCTGATTAACTGGCTGAGCCACGCACGTGTCCCAGGAATCCATACTTTAAATGATCATTTCAACTTGTTTAAATAAGTCTTTTCCTAATTCCCAAATGAAATAGTACCTTTTCACTTAGCTATTCTGTTAATAGCTAATGACATTGTTGCAGAAGAGAAATGCATAAACTAAGTATAAAATACTTTAGTCTCTACTTCTATAGGCACAAATGAAAAATATGTACTCACATAAAAGATTTTCTTGCCACTTCCTGAGTTACTAAAGTACAAAGAAATAGTCCTTTTTTTCTCTTTACCATTATATGGTGAACAATGACTAAGTTTAAACTTTCTGAATTACTAGAAACAGTGTTTATTGTCCCCACTGCACATTAGAAAATCCAGTTTTTATTTTCTTGTTATTTGAATTACATCTCTTAATTTAACTTATATTTTTAAAAAACATTCTTTATACTTTGTTTTTCTATTAACTAACTGAAGCAATTCATTTATTAGAGAACAGCAATGTTCTGCTAACATGAATCAAACTTAAGAACAAAAATGACAACTTAAAAGTAACTTCTGTCATCCAAATAGTAACCAATGAGAGGGGATTGGAGGGATCTGAATTGTTGTAGGATAAATGGACTTTATCTGGAACATCCTCTTGCTAGCAGCGGAAGTGGCAGTTGTTGCACGCTCTCAAACTATTGTCATTCTCACTTACTTTGTACCTAAGGCTTTCAAGTCCCAGAGATTTCAGTGTGTGTTTAGTTTGGTTTGGTTTTGCTTTGCTATGGTAGCATTTACCAACTTTCAATGTCCTATTGTTGGCTCTCACACATATACATGATGTTTCTAAAATGAAAAAAGAAGCAGGAGGGTCATAGTAGGTGGGAACTCAGGGAGGCTGGTTTGGGCAGCATTGAAGACAGGCGGACATCTCCTCTTTCCCTTAGGTTCAAACAGTGGGGCTTGAAAACAGAAGCAAGTCACTGTGGTATTGCAGACAGACACCAAAAGCAGATGGTACCCTAGATCAACACCAGAGAAAGGTGCTTTTTTGTATATTTGGCAGTTTAGTTCTTTTATAAGATCCAATCAGTAACAACCCAGAAGATACATCAACAGTTTATCTTAAAAGGGGGAAAAAAGCCATCAGTTAATGGCTTTATATATCAGTTAATTATACACCTCTCGATAAAACATGAAAATAGTAATGGAAAAATAATCTTAAAACAGATAAACAATTGTACATAATAGTTTGTCGGCATTTTAAGTGACCTCATTTAGATTTTTTTCTCTAAAGCAAAAAGACAGAAGTCACAGCAGGCATCTAAAAGTCCATGCTCATTCAGCTATTTACACATAATCTTTCAGGTTGTATGCTGAATTGCCCTCTGGTTGTGTGGTGGAGATGTGCTGCTGCTTGGGTGGATAGAGCCAAGCTTCTGGATTCTTTTCAATGCAGGAAGTGCAGAAAATCATGCCAGAGATCAAGAGTAGTATGGCCGAAATGAATCCAATATAGACGGCTCCTCCAGGTTCATGTTTGTTGCTTTCTGGAACTGTCAGATCCAGAAAGTTTGCTACAATCTCCTTCGTGTACCACACTGTTGGAATCAAACCAGAGACCCCCGCAGACATGAAACAGACTCCGCCAGCAAAAGAAGCGTGACTCTTTGTTTCTCTGTCCCCTCCTAGGCGAGTGCATTTCATACCTACTGTAGAAGCGCAGATCCCCAAAGCAGACAGAACACATGCCAGGACCATGGTGGCCCGTGCGGCCTGCACGTGGACGGGGAGGGACAGAATGGAGTACTTCAGGGTGCAGCTGAACATCCCGGTGCTGTACCATGTGCAGTCCGTCCACAGCCCTTGCAGCTGCACGATGGCCGTTATGATGTTGGAGCCCGAGTCCACGTTCACCTTCCAGTTAGGCAGCAGAGTGGCTGTGAGTACTCCAGACACTCCGGATAAGGCCAGGACGAAAGCAAGGAGCTGCAGCCCAGCTGACACCATGACGTCACCTTTATCTTTGATCAGGATTGTAGCTTTCTCTCTGTGGCAGAGAACCAAGTGACAAAGGCTAGGAAAAGAAGACAAAATCAGGATTGAAAGAAAGCATAAACAAAGGGCTTCCATTTCCACGTCCAGGGGGAGCAAAGAACACATTTGAATAGACCCCACAGTAGATGAGGACGTGGTCGCCCAGGAGAAAAGCTCACACTAGGCCCTCAGAGGCCACCATTGTCCTGAGTGCCAGAGGATGGGCGGTGCTTGATACATGGCATAAAGGAAAGAGCTGTCCACTTGTTCTTTTTAAAACTTAAACTTTGCTGAAGTTGTCTATAACGTGGGCAGTGTGCCTTAGGAAATTCTGACATTTCAGATTCCAGCTGGAGGATCTAATAAGAATTTTAATAGCATTAGAGGTTTTTAAAACTCTCTCTTCCTTATTACCTATGGAGTATTTTAATTAGAAACAGTGTTTAAGCCCAGTTCTTAAAAATGATTTCTAAATACATAGTGGAAAAGTTTCAAGTATTCAAAAAGATGGTTTTATTAAAAAAAAAAAAAAATTAAGCACCCACCATGTGCCAGATATATGACCCAAGTGAACTGTTTAAGGAGGAAAGGAAATTCTCAGAGAGAAGGTAAAGCCATAGGCATGATTATCCCTGATTTCCAGTTAATAAACTTTTACAAAATCCTTATCTAGGTTAACACTCATTTCACATCAGGTACAGGATACCCAAAACTGGAACAATTAAGCCTCTGTCTCCTGCTCATGAGAATGTGAGATCCTGTCTAATTGGGACCAGAATCATTCCCTGACCCAAATGAAATCGTCTGCTGGGAAACCGGTTATCCTCACGGACTCAGAAGTAGTGACACTGAATCTTGAAATTACAGGCCAGAAATAACCACATCATTAGTTGTATGTGAAAGGATACCAAAAATAATTTAACTTTTTTTTTCTTTTTTTTCTTCCTTTTTTTTTTTCTTTTCAAGGAGAGAAAAGATAGCACTGAATTTGTGACTTGGCTATGCTTTAATCTGGCAAGCACTTCCTGCCTTGGAAGAAATACAGTGGTTTCTGAAATACAGTAATAACAGCTTTTTTGTGTTTCTGCATTAATTTTTGAATGATATATTAAGACATTGTGGTTCTACCACAGTTCATGTATATTTCACAAAAGGCAGTATGGACTCTGAATCCAAAACACTTGGGTCAACTCTTAGCTTTCCAGAACCTCTCTGTGCCTCAGTATCCTCTTCTGGAAAAGGGGGAGGATTATTGTATATATATCAAAAGTTAAATGCATTTTAAGGGCCTAGAACAATATCTAACACATAGAAGTATTCCACAAATTAAAATGGACTCTGTTATTAGTATGTTTATTTTATGTCATGTGACAATTGATATTTAATGGCATTTGAAATTTTTCTCTTCCTTCATTGAGCTGATCTACATAGAATCTTAGAGCTGAAATAAACTGCAGATATAACTTTTTGCATCATCATTTTTTCCGATTAGGAAGGACACTGAGGCAGTAAATCACCCTGTGTCACAGAGGTCTCAGCAGCAGTATCCTGCTTTTCCTGCCTCTCCCCATCTCTCCCCACCGTTACCCCGGTATACCCCGGTGAGAGCCTCTCCGTGTGCTCCCCGGGAGCAGAGAAAAATGCTGCATCTGGAGGCAGAAAGTACCATTGACTGTCAACTGCGTTCATTCCCTGTCCCATCTAGAAAGAAAAGCACTTGAGAGGGTAGTAATAGGACGCATGGCTCAGCCTCACACTCGCCCAAGGAGGCTGATGCTGGGCTTCTGTGTAATACCTGAAGTAATACTAATCTGCTCCGGTATTAAGAGTACATACTTCACAGAGTTATTAGAACGCTGCTTTTCTAAGAAGTTAAATCCTGGGCTGTCGAAATTCCTTTGTTCTATTTTTGTTCGCAGTCTTAAAATGTGACAATTTTAGGGAAGTGTTTTCCTGAAATTTCAAATTAAATATCAGACTTAAACACACATCAGAGTAGTTAGGCTTTGTGTGGAACCATACGGTTCATTTCTTTCTGTTTTCCACATTTCTTTTCGTATCTGAGACCAAAATAGAACAGAAGTTAAAGATTCTAGAAGAAAATGAAAGACGTTGGTAGTTTTATAATAGCTGTTTTCAGGTTTGGGTTTTAACGTCTCACACTCCAGCCAGTTCATTAAATTACTGCCTTCCCAGACCATTTTCAGCTTAGGGTTTCCTCGGTGTCGAGATTGCTGTTCCCATTCTCTAAGAGCATCTCATTTCTCTATTTTTACTTTGGTTGAGTAACCTTTATGTGTTGATCTGTCTGTGCTCAGCTTCCCAATTATAACCTTTTTCTTCCCATTAACCAATACATTTCATAAATTTCAGTGTAATTCAGGCTTGCAGACAGCTTGTTCATCTTAATTAACAAGTACTGGCAGTGATAAATTACAGACAGCCACAATCAGTGTAAACAATATGACATTGCATTCAGCTAGCAGAGTGCTCGCTTGCTGTTGAATATTGGATTTTAAATGCTTTCTTCTGCAGAGAACTTACGCAGAAAGAATTTGTTCTCTACAATGAAGGTCACTATTCTGTTCCTTTGTAAAAATGTACTGGCATGTTAGCCATATTGCTATGAAGTCTTTTTTCTTTTCTTTCTTTTTTTTTTCCTTCTCCAGCCGCAAGTATGATACAGTTTGTGGCCTGTTCTCTCAAATTTCTGTCTGGTACAGAATAAAAGCACACTTTGTTTCACTGGTGGCGGCGGTGGTGAAATGCTGTGAAAGTAAACAGGAGCAGTGGGGTCGCAGGTACAAACTTAGTACTAAATAGAGAAGGCTCCCGTGGTTCCAGAACGTTCCACATACAGAACCCACAAATGATAATTTTTATCAGCTCTTTGCCAGCAGAAAATCTGGAGTGGATTTCATTAAGATGTAAAGTCAGTTTTCCAGGCAAGATTTATTCATAACAAAACGAACATTTAAAATACAGATTTACAACTTAAAATCCAGGCTACACGATACTTAAAGGTCTCTATGTTTCTGAGCATCCCTGAAGCTTCTCATTTTCCGTACCTTTTGTCAGGAGCCGTCAGTGTCTTAACTCCCCTCTGTCAGTGTCTTCCAGTGAAAGTGTCTGAGGAGGAGAAGCCACACATGTGAGGCTCATCTCCCAGCTTCCGAGTATTAGTGACGAAGCTCCAACAAGTTAACTTGCAGATAAAGAGCAACATGGAAATCTGAGGTAGAAACTGCTGATGGTGCTGGAAGATAAATACCAGGTTCTCCATCTCATTTTTTGAGCTGTGGGAGAATTAAGAAAGGAGAGGCGGGGAAGGGAGGGAGTTGTTGTTACAACAGGATTTGTCGAAACCTGAAAGCTGAAAATGCTTTTGTGTCATTGTATACAGAGGAGGAATTATTTGGGTGCTCACAAAAAAGGCTTTCTTTTCCTTTAATACTATGTTTTAATCCACAGTTATAATTTATCTTTGAATTTTTATCTGTGTTGGAAGATCTCTTTTATTCTTTTATGTCCCCAATTAAAGAATGTGGTCTGAAATATTTTTAACTAGATTGTGCTTTGCAAGTGATAGTTGAGACTGTCTTTTTATTCGAGTGCTTGTGACTTGCTTGAAATCAAGTCACAAAATCGGTAACTTTGAAAAAAAAATTCAGAAGTTTTTAAAATATATATACTTTTTTTTTTAAATAAAAGGAAAAAGAAAAAACAACAACTGCTGACGACAGTCTGACCAGTAAACCTACAAGTGTTTTGGGGGGGTGGGCGAGTCCTTAAATTTCTTCTGTTATTCCTTCTGTTATTCTGAAATGTAACTTAATAAAATAGAACTTCTAGATAATGTTGTGAGGAAATTACATCAAAATGATGTGAGGGAGCATATTAAGTGAAACAGGGGAATGAAATATTGAGGTCCTAGTACCATGAATAAAGATACAGACGTATTTCATGTCCCTCTATTTTGGGTTTGCATATTCTTTTTCTTCATTAATTTTAATTCTACAAGCTATAAATTCATAGCCACTACAAAGAAGATAATTTTAAATTGGATTTTTTTTTAATTTTCCAAATGTTGATAGCCATATTAGATCTCAGCCATTTCTTTAAAAGCAGTGAAAAAAATACACATTTCAATTATCTGGATTTTTTTCTACATTTTTTTTTTTTTTTTTTTTTGGTTTTTGTTGCTTTGTTTTCATCTTTTCTAAGTCTGGCATTTAGCTATGTATTTTCTTCTCTTAGAAATCTAAAGCCTGTGGATTTTTTAGCCATAGTGTTAAGATTTTAATATATAAACTTTTCTTTCATGGACATATTTAAACAATTCTTTGTGTAAATCCTGGACGAAGTAGAGTTGAATTTCAGGCACTAACAGAAACAGCATTGTTGTTTCTTCCGTAGCAGAAGAAACCCGCCAGATCCCTTTAGTGCCTCGCCTTGCTTTGCTTTCCATTGCGGTCAGTACAGATTCACCTGTGCCGAGGCTTCCTGATGGCAGGTGGAAGCGCCAGCCTGCTCCCAGCTCTGGCCTCCAGAGTAAGGAGGCCTCATTTCTGTTTTCAAAACATTTGTGATCATTCTCTTGCTTGGTGCGAACACTTACCCAATAAAATATTAACAGCCTCTTTCAGAAGAGCGGACTTCCGAATGCAAATAACTTCCATAAATCACAGACCTTTAATCAAGGTAGAATGCCTTGTATAAAAAAAGGAGATGGAAAAGTAGAGGTTGCTAGAGACATCTAACTCACTGACCTCATCCGCTTCCACCGTGTACATTAAAGAGAATTAAATCTTTTTTAAGTCCGAAGATTTTTGTAGATAAATCTTAGCTTTACCTTAGTTTCTGCCTCTTCCCAGGCCCTCTGCCCCCGCACACCCGAGTTCTATATCCAGCGGCCAGTGTGGCGTCACTGATAGACGTGGCAGACCCGTCCTGGACAAGGTGAACTCCTGACCTTCCCCACACCCGTTCTCATTTTCCCACGTCCATTCATGGCGAACTCCTCCTTTGATTTGGCAGGTCCCAGATATTAAAAACCTCCTTGATTCCATACCCGATACCCAAATCATTTTGTTCTAAACTTCAAAATAGATCAAGAATCCTACCACCTCTGAGCCCCACTGCTGCTAACTCGGTGGCTGAGGAACCCCGTGAGGGCAAGGACTCCTGTATGACTTGTTCGTTACTGAGTCTCCTGTGTCAGGAATGGTGCAGGCACATGGGAGGGGTACAACAGGTGCTTGTTGAATGCACTCAGATACTGATTTTGAGCATATAAAATAACATGAAACTATACATTAACTTTGTATGATTAAAAGTATAATTTTGTCCTTTCTAAAGGAGACTGCAATTTTAAGTCATTTTGTAACTCTTGGGTTTTTGTCATTTTGGCCTAATAATAATATGTACTGTTTATAAAATTGCTTCCTATATGCTGGGTACCATTTGAGGCACTGTGCTACTTGATTCTCAGGGCAAGCCTGGGAAATAATAGGGATCCTCATTTTACATGTGAGAAACTGAGCTCCGGAGAAGTGCCTGGACTAAGGTTGTGAAATGAGTAAGTAGCAGGAATGGGATCCAGGCCCAGGATATTGTGATTTTTGAAGCCCTTATACACTCATAGCACTTCCCTGCCTCTACTTAGAAAAGATGTATTTCTTTTTTTCTTTTTCTTTTCTTTAGATAGAGAGCACAAGCAGGGCAGAGAAGGGCAGAAGGAGAGGGAAAGAGAATCTTCATCAGGTTCCATGTGGGGCATGGAGCCGGATACAGGACTCGATCTCTTGACCCGGAGATCATGACGCGAGCTAACGCCAAGAGTCAGACACTTAACCGACAGAGCCACCCAGGTGCCCTGAAAAGAATGTATTTCTAAGTCTTATTATAACGAGTCATTTCTTTCTGTGGTAGTCCGGATAACTGCAAAAAACATAACCCTAACATCTCTGTGGCTTTACATGAAACACTTCCCATGCAGAGTCCATGACCGACTGCAGAGCAGCTGGCCCCGTGACTCAGCAGCCCATCTATTTTCTTCAAAATGTTTTCATGTAGCTATTTTAAAGAAAAAAATCACGTGTGATTTCCTTAGTGTGTTTTTCTGAGTAATGATAATCTGAAATTCAGACAGGCTTTTCTCTTTTCTATGAAAGACCTAATAATTTAACAGAAAATTTTAGAAATCATAACAATACATACTTTTGTATGAGCTTGTTCACCAGACATAGGTTCCTCACTCCTGCCCACACATAACATCATCTGGCTTTCAAAAAGCCTGAGGCCCAGGCCGGGGCCCCATGGCTCTTACGTCATTGGTCTGGGATGATGCCCACTCACAGTATGTTTAAAATGCTGCCCACTTAATGCCAGTGGAAAGCTGAGGTTCTGATTTTTAAAAAACCGTGTCTTCTCTTATTTGCCTTCTGTTTAGCTTTAAAAATAATGAATGTACAGGGGCACCTAGGTGGCTCAGTTGGTTTAAGCGTCTGCCTTCAGCTCTGGTCGTGATCCCAGAGTCCCAGGATCAAGCCCCACATTGGGCTCCCTCTCAGCAGGGAGTCTGCTGCTCCCCTACTTGTGCTCACTTTCTCTCTGTCAAATAATAAAGAAATAAAATCTTTAAAAAAATAAAAATAATGAACATGTAGAGTAAGGTTAAAGTAGTCACCTATTCTAGTCCCACAAATTTAAAATGAATGACTTAGTCTTAAAATAATGTTCTCTTCTGACCCAGTCTTAGGAAATTTATAGTATCAGCTGAGAGAATGATCAGTTCGTTATTTTCCTTCATCTTTATGGTCATTTTAAAGTAATGCTTTAGGCTAGTCTAGAGACAATTAACTTTTATAATTGGTAGGTTATAGATTAGTTGGTTATAGTGAGGACTTTGTTAAAAATGTTAATTCAGGGGACACCTGGGTGGCTCAGTCGGTTAATGTCTGACTCTTGACTTCAGCTCAGGTTATGATCTTAAGGTCATGAGATTGAGCACATCAGGCTTCACACTGGGCATGGAGCCTCCTTAAGATTCTCTCTGCATCTCCCTCTGCCCTCTCCCCAACCTTGCATGTGTGTTCACATTCTCTCTCTGGAAAAAAAAAAAAAAATGAAGATGAATATTCTTTAGTTTACGTATGTTCTCAGATGTCTGAGAGGCCATCGTCAGTGTTGATTTTTATCAGTCCGGAATGTGTTTCTGCAGAGTACTCCCCACCCCTCCACCTTTACCAGGGGAGATGTTCTGAGACCCCAGTGAATGCCTGCGAGTGCAGATAGGACTGAGCCCTCTATACACTTTGTTTTTTTCTATATATCCGTACCTAGTTTAATTTATGAATCGGGCACAGTAGAGAAGAATAACTAATGATAAAGTAGAACACTGAGCCACAGTTACACTGTAATGGAAGTTATGTGTGGTCTCAAATACCTTCCTGTCCTGCACTCACTCTGATGATGATGATGGTGGGAGAGAATAAAATGTATGATGAGCTGAAGGGAGGGGAGTGACGTAGGCGCAGTGACACAGCATTAGGCTACTGGTGACCTTCTGACACTGGACCCGGGAGGAGGATCATCTGCCTCCAGACTGTGCTGACTGGGGGAAACCGCAGGCACACGAAGCCAGCCGTGGGTAAGGGGACACTCGGGTTCGTTTAGTATCGGTTACCTTAGTTGATGCTTGGTTTCTCCTTTTTATGTCTTTATGAGAAAGGATCTTGGGACGTGTTTTCTGCCCTCCTCACATTATTTTAGAATATTTAGACTCCTTGGATTTTGTGGCGACACTTGCATATGGGTCTGATTTTGTCAGTCTCACAGGTGGTATAAGTACGTATTTGTTGGGCCTCACTCTTGCCCCTCCTTGCACATTACTTTGAACAGCAGGACGTGGTGGGTTTTTGTTTTTTTTTTTTAACATCCTCATTTGGTAGCAGTATCTGAGAAGGTGCGTGAGGATCCCCAGTTTAGGCCTGACCTTCCTCTTTCCTTGTTCCTCTTTGGCTTCCTTGCATGACTCTCTCTCCTACCCAGCTAGGTCTCCTGCCTCCAGCCCCAGCCCACACTCTAGGGCACTGCGTGCGGTGCGTTCCTGTGTTTCTTATTTATTTTTTTTTCAGAGGAGGCAACATTTTATTATTTAATTAACTTATAATGTATTATTTGCCCCAGGGGTACAGGTCTCTGAACCACCAGGCTTACACATTTCACAGCACTCACCGTAGCACATAACCTCCCCAGTGTCCATCACCCAGCCACCCTATCCCTCCTTCCCACCCCCCAGCAACCCACAGTTTGTTTCCTGAGATTGAGTTGCTTATGGTTTGTCTCCCTCCCGATCCCATCTTGTTTCATTTTTTCCTGCCCTAATCCCCACAGCCTCCCACCCTGCCTCTCTAATTCCTCATACCAGAGAGATCATATGATAATTGTCTTTCTCTGATTGACTTATTTCACTCAGCGTAATACCCTTTAGTTTCGTCCACATCATTGCAAATGGCAAGATTTCGTTTCCTTTGACGGCTGCATAGTATTCCATTGCATATATATGCCACATCTTCTTTATCCATTCATCTGTTGATGGGCATCTAGGTTCTTTCCATAGTTTGACTG